AAATATTTCCTGGGACCAGAGCCTTCCATGGGGGTGTGTGGCTGGGCAGAGTGGCAGCCTAATGGTGCTGTCCGTGTTGGTGCTGGGTGATTGGATCTTGAGTGAGGGGTCTCTGCCCTTACTGAAGCAGCCAGTATGGTGGAAGTGGAGGTTGCTGTGAATGTGAGTGAAAAGATTTACTTCCCAGCACACATCTCATTAGAGGGTAGACTATGATGCTAGGACGCAAAGAGAGATGTTCGAAAAGAGGGAGGGTCATTTCAGCTCCATATTCTCTCATGGCCTCGGGAAAACAATGGCAACTAGTTGGTTTTTCATGAAGGAATTCCTGTTTTTCATTTGTTGTTGCTGTTTTTTCAAAAGGTGGGTTAGTATTCAGATGAAGTGAATATCAAATATTCACTGTAATTAGAAAATTAAAGTGTTCAGGTAATGGAAAGATGTGCTTAAGATGAAATCAGAAATCACTAAGAGTTGTGTCATATTGTCTACTGAACCTTTCCTGCATGGACAACGCTGCCCCTGGAAAAATAAAACAGCCCCTAGTTACCTGGAGAATGCCTGAGTTTTGGTTTGAGTGACTCAAAAGGGACTACAAAATGAGGCTGAGGTTTTGAGCCGTCTTTAGATGCATGACCTTGGTTTTTCCTCTTTGGAGATGGGACCAGGCTTGAGAAAAAGAAGAGGATAATTCAAAGAACCAAGAGCTATCTTTATTTGAATTTCAACAAAATTCCTTATTTGATCTTCTCTAGTTCATATTTTCTTTAATTAATCTAAATATCACATTCTTTTTATTTAAAAAAAGTTGTTTGTTGAGCACTTTCATTGGCCAGGCATTTTCCTATGCCTTCTAGATTGCATTATTTTGTAGTACTTAACCCAAAGAAACAAAGGCTTCATTCCTAAGGCAAATAAGACAGTAAAGTCAAAATCTGGAATATTTGGGTAAAGAAATCTGAGAAAGTCAAGGAAAAACGACTAGTTTACATTTTTATTGAATCCTTAACTTTCTAGTATGTGAATATAGGACAGATTTCTCTCCTTAGGGTATGAGAACTTTTTCCCAGAATTAGGATCTGGTTTGATTTCCTTAAAGCTTTCTTCACTTTTCGTATAATTGAGATTGCCTGTACTTAATTAATTAAATGTCACAAGTCCAATATAATTATTTTATGAATAATTATATTAGCTGTCTTCTGTTTTAATCACCATGCCACATTTTATCTCCATCAATGACTATCTTAAAATGTTGAACAATGGGCTTTCTACAATTCCATAAAAATTTTGGTAAGAAATAAAATATTTTAATATTCAAATTAGTTCTTTATGACAAAATATTTCTAAAATAATTTTTCTTAACATAATTATTTTATTTTCATTACACAGAGTGCAGAACTGTTTGGGACTGCTTTCAGGACTTCCTATTGTGCCTGCTGCTAGCTGGCAGCAATGAGAGACAACCTTTTTCAAATTATTTAATAATTCTGCAATATACTCAGATTCAAAAATGTATATAGCCTTTGGGATATTTGCAAACCATTCAGGGGATTTATTGAAAAATTGTACCATTTTAATTTTTTTGTTTTTTATTAAAGTAAAATATAAAACATTGTAGATGATCTGAGAAATATAGAGGAAATCTCTCTAAAATGTTAACACCCACATTTGTGAATTAAATGCATATGTTTATATATTTTACATAATTTTAATAATAGAATGATTAAATTATATATACTTATTTTTTTAACAACATATTATCAGAAACTTTTTGGTATAAAAAAGATGCACTCAGATATCCTATGGCAAGTGTGTAATTTTGGAGGCAAACTATTTCTATTCCAGTGTGTTACTTGCATGGTTAGCTCACATGGTTGGACCATGGGACAAACTGATGAAGGTTATAGTTTCAATTTCTAGGTAGGTCAGTTAGCTTTACTCTGTTTCATGGCCACATGAAGAGACTAAACAACTTAGAAGGAAAATGTGACATATTAGTGTAAATTCATCCACTCTGCTAGAAAAACCACCCATAGCACAAGACCTAGGTTTGTGCCAGTTCCTAAGTTATTAGTGTCAGGATGAAAAAAAACAGAAGAGGAAAATCTTGACCCTCCAAATACAAAAATCGAATGCTATATAGCTTTCATTTCCCAAATATAACATAATGACCTGCCTTTTCTTTTTATAGTTACAGTTGAGGGGCTCCAGCTGATCACCTGCCTGAAATTACTGCAAGCCTGGTGGGAAGCATTTGAGGAGGCAGAGTCATGCTTTCATTTCACTAGGAAATCATTTAGCAAATTACTGCCGTTCTGTAAATTACTGTGCTGCATAACTTTCATACTGAGAAACTATTTCCTTTTTCCATAAAAATTGCAGATGACAGGTTTCTACAATAAATAACCTGTATTTAAAACAAACCAATTCCTAGAATTTAGAGAATGTGATATAGCATTTCTCAGGTGGAAATAAAAACAAATACATTTTTATTACTAATATTAAAAAATGACATATTCTCTGTTAAAGTCAGATTTTTATCTATTGTTTGTTTACTTTGTTACCTTTTGAAGTGAATGTATAGAGGCTTCTGAGGATGAAATAACAAGCTAAGTACTTATTTTTTGAAAGGAAAAGAGCTTATTTGGGGAATCAGAGTTCTTTAAGCCTAAATTTTACATGTTGAAGAGAGCCCCACAATCAGTAGTCAACTTAAATAGAACACAATATTGGGACCAAGTTTTATTATGCCAAGTCCTGTTTAGGATGTCAGTCTGACGGGAAGTAACTCAGTTCTTCTAATTTTGTGTGGAGGTGATAGGCCCAAATACAATCTTGGGAAATATGGCCTTATCCCCACAACCACTCTAAGAGGATCACACTCCAAATATGGTGATCACTGCTGATGAGACAGGAAGCATTACAAAAGGACTAATTGCTCTAGCCTTTTCCAGAAACACTTGGATAGTGGAACACAGAACTGGCTCTTTCATTTCAGTGGCAATAAGATAGAAGAGCAGAGGCAGGGGAAAAAGCTTTTCCTCAGAGAATGAGGTTCCATTTCAGAGCTGCCTTTTCATAAAAGAAGGGCTTGGAAACAAAAGTGAATGACTGATATCATGAAGATTAATGAATATTAAGTAGATTCCCCCTAAACCTAAAGGTTGTTATGACTAATAAAGAGAAAATGCTTCACAGTAGCTCAAATTTTTAAATAACAATCACAATAGGTGCATATTAAAATTAAAGCTCCTTATACCTAGAACTAGTTATAGCATCACTAGACTTAAATTCCCAATACTTAAATCCAGAGTTAAATAAAGTCGTGGCAAATGTGAAGAAGATTCAGAAGAATCGCATAAATGTGGTTTCATTGTTGCAAATAAAAGCTTTGAGGAAAAGGTTAAAAGAACTGATGTGATTCATTTCGAAGATGAGTAGATTAAGGAATGATTTTTATCCTTTTTTTCCAGCCTTTCTCAACCTGTGTTCCTCATCTAATCCAGAGAATACAGAAAATAATTTAAGTGACTATTTTCTCAATTCCTCCATGGATGGTACATAACTGGTACCATTCTAGATACATTGAAGAGAAGTTAATTCATTACATACAAGGATGCCTTAGGGTACCAGGGCTCAATTTTCTCTTGTAACGGAGGCTGATAACAATTGGATACACAGTGGACCATAAACTAATGTTGGCAAGATATCTGCAGCCTAGAAAATGCGTTTAAAAAGCACGAGATGTGTAGAAAAGAGAAAAGGTAGATTTCCTAAAAATAAATTACATAGCATTAAGTAATGTCTATTGGGGAAAATTACACAATTTCCTTCTTCCAAGCATTTGGAAGTTGGCATTTATTTTCTTCTCACTGGAAGGGGTTGAAGTGCATGGCCTCCAAAGGCAGAGGTTTTGTCCCGCCCTGAAATGTAGGTGTTTGTTTCTTCCAATGTGGGGCTATTCAAATATCCAAAATGGGGAAGCCCTGAGGTTAGAAGGTGAATGAGCAAGACATGCTGAGAGGTGGTGGCCTAATATCCTTCTCTTCTCTGAGGGACTCAGCTCACGATGCAGAGAAACACCCATTTACTGCTGTCAGGAAGGCGAAGAAAGAAACTTTACATTGACAAAGAGAATGCTGATGCTAAAGATTCTTAAGAAGAGTAGAACTTTAACTATAAGGCTGCTTAGGTTCTTTAGAAATATCTTCTGTTACATCTCTCATATTAAATTTTTTTCTAGAAGATAATGCCTGTTAAATCTAGAATACTGCTTTTATGACACAGAATTACCAATCTGAACATAAATGATTGTTATTTAGAACTACAGACAGAGATGTAGAAGACAAACTAAATATTCATAAGCCAGATTCACTGGAAATGCTGGTGTTTCACTATCTAAAAGCAACCCGGTTTCTATGTCTATTTTTCTGATGAATGCAAACACAGTAAAATTCTAGATACTTCAAGTTTTATTAGCTCAATTCCAAGTAATTGAAATCCTACTGTACATCACTGTCCATTGTGATCTTTTATTCATTAATCCACATTATCATGATTCTGGGATTGTTCACAAAGATCACTATTGACTTGGATTGTACATTTAAACTACAAATGAATTTTTCTAATGTTACTTTAAGGAGTATTTGGACAGGGCATCAGTCACACTGTGGATACAATCTGCTTTCTCTGGCAACTTATCATTAATATAAAATGGGAGTCCATATTGATCTTCACTTATGCAAGCAGTTCACATGAATTCCATGAAACTGCAAGTGAACAACAAGGGCAAACTTTGTCTTCTAAGAAGACAGTGGTTTAAATATTTGGGTGCAAAGATCTCTTTTATAATAAACAAATAAATCTTTTAATACAGAAGTTTCAATTGTAATGAAGTCAAGGTTGGAACAGTTAAAATAGGATAATGCGCAAAGATGAATGAGTATATGACTAAACTTTTCTTGGCTTTGTCTAACCGCTGCTCTTTTTTCCACTTATAGCTATTCAGGAGGAAGAAAATGAATCTGTGCCCCTATCCTTAAGCCCAGACATCTCCTTAAATAAGTCACAGTTAGATGACTGCCCAAGAGACTCTGGTTGTTATATCTCATCAGAAAATTCAGATAATGGCAAAGAAGATCTGGAGTCTGAAAATCTGTCTGACATGGTACAGAAGATTACGATCACAGAGCCAAGTGACTGAACACACATTCTCTGTATCTACAGAAGCATTCCATTTTAACTCTTCTTGAGCTAAAAGATCAAATAGCAGAGGAAGAGAAGTATTTGTAGATACAACCTAAAGTTAAAACGTTTTAATCTGAATGACTGCACATAAAAGTTCGTATCTCTAACATTCTCAATTATTGTAAATAATATGTATATTTATTATTTTAAATGCTGCATGTTAATATCTCACTTACCTATATTAGAAAAAGTATATGTAAGTCTTTGTTATGTGTGACATAAGCTTTTTTTGGCTTTCTTTTAGAAGTGCAAAATGATAAATTCTACAAAAAAAAAAAGAAAACCTACGTTTTTCATACCTGTAAGTTTTAATTTGTGTATATGATTGAATGAATAGTAATGGAGCATGTGTCTGCTTAACCAGTTGTCCAACCAGCATTTACACTTATTTTTATACTTACTGGAATAGTATGAGTTCATATTGGAGACATGTTATCCTGATCCACAGTGGAGTGTTAGTAATGATTTTTTGTTGATTTCTTCACTGTTATCTCGTATAAAAATATAGATAATATATTGTCAATCATGATTTAGTAAAACTAATTTTAATAATTGTACAGATGTTTCATCTTTAAATGTAAATATTTTTAATTGTGAAATACCTTAATTTTAATAATAAAAAGAACCATGTGCATTTGGTATTTTCCAGACTAGTATTACTTAAGGTATTTTCATACTAGACCTTTAGACAAAATATCTCCTACCAGACAAGGTTTTATAGTAAGTCCTTATATATATGATACATATATATAAGGTTTCCAATATATCCCATATATATATGATTCCCAAATCAATTAACACACCTCACTCTGTCTCCTGAACCCCAATCTGTGTTATCCAATTTCCTGAATACCTCTCTGTATTAGTCACTTCAGGCTGCCACAACAAAATACCATAGACTGGGTGGATTAAACAACTGAAATTTATTTTCTCACGGTTCTGGAAGCTAGAAGTCCCAGATCATGTTGCCAGTGTGGTTGGGTTCTGGTGAGAGCTCTCTTCCTGGCTTGCAGATAGCTGCCTTCTTACAGTGTCCTCACATGGCAGAGAGAGAGATAGCAAGCTCTCTGGTGTTTCTTCTTATAAGGACACCAATCCCATCATGAGGGCCCTACCCTCATGACTTTATGTAAACCTAATTATCTCCCAAAGGCCCCATCTCCAAATACCATACATTGGGGGTTAGAACTTCAACATATGAATTTTGCAGGGGTGGGGGATGTGGTGGGGACACAATTCAGTTCATAGCACTCTAGGAAGCTTCAACTCAACATACCCAAATCCTTGATTTGCTCTACAAATTTGTCTCTCCTTTTTTATTCCCAACCTACCTCTCTCTTTAATGGCACCAACACCCACCTGTTATCCAAGGCGGAAAATCATTTCTCACTTCGTCTCACATACGTCCTCCTCATACAGATTCAATAAGTAATCAAGCTCCTGGGATCCTACCTCTAGAAATGCTTTCACGTTCATGGCTTTCTAACCATTCTCATGATTACTGTCTTGCTTTAGAACTTCGTGATCTCATGTATGAAAGAGTGCAAGAGCTTTCCAACTGACTTCTACCAGTGCCCTTTCTTCTAATCCATCCTCCACAGCCTCCAGAAAGATCTTTCTAACATGTAAATCAAATCATGTACTTTCCAGCTTGAAATTTTTTGATGGCTCCTCATTGTCTTTAATATAATATTTAAATTTTCTTCCAGGATATATAAGGTCCTTCCCAACCATTTTTTTAAATCTACCCTATGAGTCATATCTTTCCTCTCCCACCTCTCACTCTACATTCTCCAGCCCATAACAATCTACTTGCAATTCCTTGAATTCACTATATCCTTTGTGACTTTTCATATGCTATATATTTTCCTCAAGTGGCTCCTGCTATTTTCTACACCCAGAAGCCTCCCTCTGTTCTCTGACTTAAGACTTATCACACAAGTCACTTACTCTGTGAAACCTTCCGTGATTCCCTTTCATGTTCTCCTCTTTGTGTTTCTATAGCAACTTGTATTTCTGTTGGCTATAGCACTTATCATATCATACTTTATTTATTTGTCTGACACTTGCCCTTCCATGAGACTGTGACCTCCTTGTGACAGATTATTTTGTTTAGCCTTTTTAATCCCTGGTGCCTGGTATTATACAAGGCACAGAGTGGGCATTTAGAAAATGTTTGCAGGAGTGCATTGAATATAATGATTATCCTCATATAACAGATTCCATATTTATATGTAAATCAATCTACTTAACCTATAGGCAGATACCTTCTAAAGTGACCTGAAAGTTTTTTAAACAAATAAAACGTAATTCCTTAGGAAAAATAAGGAAACACAAAGTGCTATTTCAAATGCTGGGGGACAACATTATACTGTTAATCTCTAGCATATTTTTCCAGATCCATGAGATTTAATCCCATATGCAGTGTCCAGGTCAGGAGTAAAGCACATGCCTACTTCTATTCTTGCCTCTCCACAGCAGGAAATGGTGCTTCAATTTCAAATTTCCAGCATGCTGCCTAGGTCATGGCCCCACTACTGCTATGGCTACCACTCCAAATAGATTATTCTATGGCCTCCTTGGACACAGCACAGCCATTGGCCATAGTTTTTAAATTTTAATCAACCTGCTGCCTCAGGGAGGTCAAGAGAGTACAGCTTCTTTATGAAGATGGCAGGAAATTGTAGGTGGGGAAGCATCTAAGGAACCGCTTGATTGTAAAGTGGTGGAAATCACCCGGGAAGCATACTCAGCTACAACTTCAACCGCTTCAAAATGAAAATCTGGTCAAGAATTTAGGGAAATGCTTTTGAATAGAAGTGGTGCAGAGGCCTAGAGGAGATTGAAGAAGAGGAAGAGAGATTAGATTCCTGCAAAGAGGGAAGGAAGGAGGAAAGTGGAGACACCATGAGGTTCAAGTTGCCGGAAGGATGGCCCCATCACGGAGCACAGCACTGAAAAGGACACGTGCGTAGCAGAAGTATATACCATATTAAGGGAGCTTTACTGCCTTCGCTTCACCTACCGGATCCCTGCAGCTCTGGCCTCACCTTCCTCAGGTTTTTCTCTTGAGCATGGAAAGCTGGATAAACAGGATTAGAAAGGCAAGAAATAGTTCACCAAGGTTGTGAGGTAGTTGAGGGACTTAGACCTTCTCCTGCTTTTGCCTGGGAGAGAGACACGAGTGTGAGCCTTTTAAGAGTGGATGTAAAGGTGTTTAGAGGGTTGACATTTTAACGTTTACCAGATGATCACACTGGCTTTGTGTTCTAGGTTGAAACTGGGTAAAAGTCCCAGTCTCATTCATTTATTTATTCACTCAACGATATTTAGACATGGAACATATGTGTTCCCCAAGACTATGCCAATAAAAGCCTCTTGGATCAGATAGTCTGCAATAGAATCTCACCCTAGCCTCTCCATTGGAACAAGCTAAGTCTTTCTGTATAGAGAAGTCATTCTGGAATGCAATGATTATTCTGATCCCAGGGATACACTACATTAACAAATTCAAGTATGTTGTGACAGCGTGCATGGTTAAAGAAATTTTATTCTAGGTAAATGGATAAAAATACTCATAATACTGTTTTAGTAAGAGCAAAAATCGGATCATTTCAATTCTGGTTTCCCTTCCCCTCGCATTCTATCGCTGATATAAACACGAATGTATCTTCACCCTGAAGTATTTTATCAGAAGCTTTTCTTTTTTTATCAATTAAATTGCCAAGAGAATTAGTTAAAAAATAAAGTAAGTTTTAAAATTTCTAAAATGATAGGCAGATAAAGATTATCTGGTTCTAGACAACGTCCAATTCACTGAGGTTACAGTCAAGCGCCGTGCAACTTCCTGAGTGAGGCCAATTGATGACATTTCATGTTGAGAAACTTCCGTTACAAGCATAAGTTCTGAGAAAAATGTATGAAGAAATTTTAGATACTCCATCACCCCACACATGCACGCACTTCCATCTCCCCACCACTGACAAAGAAAATTGTATAACTAATCAGCATGCACACTTCAAGTACTCCTTCATAAAGTGGGAAGTCATGCTAAAATTATGTAAAAGTTGAGAGCAAAATGAATAGGGACTAAATATAGGTAAAAGAACAGCAGTTTCTAAATTTGCCCAGTTTTTTGGCTGTGGAAGTAAGATAGGAGTAACCCTTACTTTATGCTACCTCCTGTCTTACTGCAGAATTCATCTGATCACACCCAGTGGTGACCTCAACACATAGACTGGAGGTCCTGGTTTGAAGACTGTGTGACTTTGGGCAGGTCACTTATCATCAAAGCTTAGTGTTTTTCCTCTACAAAATGTAAATAATTATAGTACTGATATTCCATATTACTGTGTTCATTAAACGAGATAACGTGTGCAAAGCCCCCAGCACAATGCATGCAGTATGTGCATAAAAACTGATACCTGAACATAAAATGGAAGCACTGCATATGCTACCATACTACAGGCATGGACTTGTAGTCATTTGAAACTCTTCAGACACACATTGTCTGAGGACGAGGACAACTGTGTTGTCCAGCAGCAATGAAAAAGGATCAGCTTATTTAACAGAACTATGCAGATAAATGATCACTTCGTCATGACAATATTTCTCTGTTTACTTCTGACAGTTTAGGAAGAGGCTACGTTGTATTTAACTTTGATTCCTCACTCTTGGCACATGATAGGGATAATCATTTTTGGAAGACTGAATGATCGGAATATATAAATAACTGCCTATATTAATGAATTAATAAATAAATAAATAAAAGATTTGAGGTCATTACTGCTATTACTGCACGCTGAGCCCTGGCTTTACAAGATAGAGTCACAGCTGATTGTGCTGTAGTCAACCGAGAAGCCCTTAGGAAGACACCCTCAATGTAGATGTTGACATATTTATGTAGCCTACGGGCATTTACACAAATGATCTGCCATGGGAAAGCAAAGTGCAGAAAGAGGCTACCAGGAAAATATGAGCTTTTCATCACACCCCTTTCCTTCATCACACAAACTTCTCACATTTGAATTACCAATAGTTAGAGTATCAGTGTGTCTGCGTGATGTATATTATAAATTAAGCCATGATGGAAGAATCTAAAAAATGACATTAGCATGTTCAGGGATCTCTTTTGACCTTCTGGGGTCCCTGGTGGTCCTGAGTGCAGAGCACTGTTTCCTCATAAGGAAGGAGTGGAATCCTGATGCATAAGGCTAACAGGATCATTTTCCTCTGAGTTCTTGGGCACTAGGCCAAGTGAATGGGCAGGAATCATTCCATTTGCAGAGTAAAATGGGGTGAAAAGCACTTCTGGCACACTTTGTCCATATAAATTATACTTGTTTGCAATTCATCAACTCCTTCTCTCCTTTATATCCATATGTAATGTAAATGATCATCTTTCTCTAAAGCTCCATAATGATCCACAGCTCAAAAAATGTGATAGAATCAGCTAAAAGAGAGCAGATGGAAGTTTTTTCCCCAGTATGCATATTCATAAAAAAATAGAGAACTCAACAATAGGAGATACATAAGTACTTGTACCCGGGGGCTGCATGGACTTATGTGCAACAGTAAGTTGGTTTCCTGCAACTATTCATTCTTGAAAGCTTTACTCATTCATTCCTGCAGCAAT